TGGGTTCCTGTGCTCGCCACCCTGAGTATTCACATTTACTGTATCCACTTTTCTATTGACAAGGAATTTACAGGCCGTCACTAAATTTAACAAGGAGGAATAGTAGATTGCCGGTGGGTAAATCCCGGAGTCGTAGGTACGAAGCCCATAAGGATCGTCAGGGTTATATATATCTAGCCACTCCTTTCCAAGCTCGAGAACCTTCACCGCCGCGTCGGAGAGTGGTGTGGGTGCTGTATCCTCAATAGATTTGATGTACACGAACCAATAGCGAGCACTGTGGTAAAGAAACGACTTTTTTTCGACTTTGCTCCCACTAATGGCACTTTTTGCACTATGTCGCAGTAGTAGACTGAGACAAGCGTGCCCCATCAGTAAATTGGCTTTCTCCTCCGAAATATGATAGTAGGAACTGGGGCCCTGCGCAGCCCGTTCGGAGATCAAATATTCTTTTACCGAGAAATGAGCTAGTCGTAATCGGCGGTTTTCCTGGCTAGATGACTCATTGTACCAGGCGTCTTCGAATGAAATAAGGCTTGGGCAAATGCTTATGAGGGACTTCTCATTAAAAAGAGGTTCCGAATTCTCGCCATATTTGTTGACATCGGATGTGATCACAATGGCCTCCTCAAGTTGGCCTAATGTCAATGGTTCTGCTGAAAATGCAAGCCAATGCATCGCTCGCCGGATGTATTCCCTCTGCGTCTCGTGAATGCTGTTGAGGATCCTCAAGTAGACAGAATCCAAGTCTTTCGGCAGTTCCCGCAACGCAGCTCTCACAGCTGCTGGTGTTATGCACTCCTGGAGAATCCGCAAAAGACAATCCACCCATCGGAACCTTCAGATATTCAACCTTGTGTCAGTGCAAGCTAGGAATATGGAGATTGAGTATAACATACATTCCTTGTGAACGCGAAACGAGTGTGTCCTCTATCTCACTCTTAATTTCTTTGGTAAATTCCTTGAGCCCATCTCTATCGCCCAGGGAGTTCTGGATATATGACCGGATATCCGGATCGATAATGTTGGATTGTAACGATATTGAAAAAGTGGCAAGTGGTCCTAGGGATTTCACTATATCGGCTTCGGGACGACTGGTGATGAGAATGGAAAGCGATCCTGCGTCGTGACCAACGGGAAGTTCGCGGATCCAGGATAGGAGACCCTTCCGGGTTTCCTTGGGAAATTCATCCAAGGCGTCAAGAATGATAAATGTCTTTTTGGAAAGCTTTACCATCTGCAAAAATGCTGATTTCAGCACCTTGATATCTGTTGACTTTCCAATTGCCTTGGAATTGTTGTATAGATTTATAATCTCATCGGGGATACCACGGCTTGAAATGCCTTCCACTAGTTGGCCAACGATCGACAGAAGCATGTGGAGAAAATTTTGCTTCTCCGAGTCGCTAAAAGTGAAGTAGAAGTAGGCTAATATGTGATCGCCTTTCGTGGCGCACAGATTTTGGACATCTTCGATGGCGGTAGCGCTAAAAAGAGTTAGCAACCTGAAAATAATATTCCGCCTCTGGATACCTTGCTGAGTTCGCACCTTAGGACACTTTTACCGCACCCGGCTACAAGATGCAAATATCAGTGACATTCTGCGAACATAAGATTTCACTTATCTGTACACTTACGTATTCCATAGAGCCAGAGGACTCCCCCTCGACCACCCTTCCAATCTCTGTACTCTGGTCCCTTAAGAAGCCAATTACCCGTTCCGGGTTCACGGAGAGCGAGCGCGTATGAAAAATTGGAGGCGGGATCAACGACGTTGAGCCATTTCAGTACCTCCCGGAATTCTTTGTCTAGGGTATCCGAGATATCCGATATTAGTAGAGAGGATAATTAAGCAGATTAGGGATAATGCGGCCAAGTACCATCTAGCTTTCGTAATACTTTAGTTACCGTCTCCCTGTGCAACTAATTAGCCCTACCGCGAAAACGAAAACAAAAACGGGAAGTGGAGAGGTTGGAATCTCAGGGCTTTAAAGGATGGATAACCTACGTTGCGGCCGTGGTTAATAAAAGATGAAGCTTCGATCTCTGCTCTTCGACCAAGCCTAGGTAATGATCCATTTTAGGCTTACGAATAGGCCAGAAATATTTTCTCACGATTTACTCCATCCTTGAACATCGAGCTTTTCCTGCAGCTCCTCTAGAGCTGTCTTGTAATCACCCAAGCTTTCGTTTTCTGCCCATTCAAGAAGGCTAGGGTATTGTGGGTTGTTCTTGTCATCTCCGATAGCAAGGCTTCGGATTTTCTCGAGCTGTTGATGTATGTCTTTAATCTCGTCCCCAAGTTTCTTGATATCTTTTTTGCTCCCTTTGACTGTATCGTAGTAGCCATCGCAAAGTTCGAAAACCTTCGCGCTGAGGTGAATGAGAGCGAAGGCGCTGGCAGCGATGGCGAAGGCCTCTCCCATTTCTGATTCTCAGGAATGTTGTGGGCTAAAAAGAGGGGAAACTCAAAAAAAGTGTGGCTATGATAACTTGCTGTTTATTAGATGTGAAAGATAAAAAAAGCTGGTGTTTACTCTTGAGGTGGGTAGGCCTTCAAGCTTTAGATTCGTTTGAGTTATGCTTTTCGACTGCGGATTCAAAGATATAGTGGAAAACAGCAACTAGTCGGGGGGGGGGTTTCTTTGGAGGGCAATGGTTTTCAAGTCTCCGTGAGGGGGGGCGCCAAAATGCCAGCACTTACCCACAGGAACGGCAGCTGCATGTCCGGTCGCTGTCGGCAAATCTGCTAGCCAACCATTACTTGAGTACAGTACTTGTGCGTCCAAGCCAAGAATGGGCGCCTCTTTAGGAAATAGCTCCCGGAGACCCATAAAATATTCCGCAGTGGCTGCGCTGTTTGAGCAACTCAGACGATAGGGTGAAATGCTGGCGCCTGGTGAGAATGATATCATATGTGAGACCATATTCTCAATACTCAAGAAGATTTTAGATCATTGAATTGGACGAATGGATAAACATCCTGAAGGTAAGTATGTGCCTGTGATTAATTTAAACTTCAAGGCTAACACTCAGAATAGCGCAGTGATGGCAAAAGGTCTTAAGAGCACTACGAAAGGAGCAATTATTGCGCTTCATAAATGTATCGGACATAGTATAATGGCGGAAATGTTTGTATGAGGGTTCATGATAGATATTGTATGTTGTAGCGGCCACATATGCACTACTCCGAAAGCAGCATCAACACTATACTTTTTACAGGTTAAGGAGCGCTATTCCGAAAGTGGGGCCCATTCTTGGCTCGGACGCACGAGTACTCGTACAGTACTTGGCAATTCCACAAGTATCCGGAGATCTTGGCGTAAGTTAGGTCCACAAAGCGCCAAGAGTCCGGATACTGGTTGAACCGCCAGATGTGGTTATGCTGCCCATGCCGCATTCTGTAGCGGCCGCCAATCCCGTATTAACTGGGGAGCGCCGTCTGACGCTATTCTGTTGAGATAAACTATCAGCTGACTCGCGACAGCGGATGAGTCATTGATAGTCCCCAAAGCCGAATAGCTTTTCCCACAAAGCGTAAAGCGGGGGTGTTCTCTCGGGAATTCGTGTCAAATTGCGAAAATATAATCTTAAACTAACTTTCTACGAGGAGCTCCAGCCGCCGCTCCTCAGTTAATAGTAAATTTGGTAAAGCTGGCACACTTTCTAACATATGGGATATGAGAAAGTTTAAACAGTCAGTCCGGGTGCTGAAAAGTGCATGAAAAATTTTCACACTCCACTTTCAATCCTCTCTGCCCGTACCTGTACCGGTATCATACTCGAGTACTCAACTGTTCCGCACCCGGTCGCCGCCCCCAGAGAATTTTCCTTCTATCCTCCACCTCACCTTCCCTATCTCAAAGCCCCATCGAAGATATTAAAACATCAAGTACAGGGCTCGATATTCGGGGCGATGAACGACACGCGGCAGCGACTACGAGGAACCGCTTTCCAGGGCGTTGTCTTCTGCTTATTCAATTTTTTTCTTGTTGCACACATTCACCTGGATTACCACTTGCCAATAATATTAAGGACGACTTCTACCTACTTCTAGCTTCGGGGTCACTTCGATACAGTCGAGTGTGCCGGTGAGACAGCTACCGTTTCCAGTCCCAACCTCACTTATCGTACTCGGCCCTCGTGATCGCACCTGACCTCTGCTACCTGTGTTCCTATCAGGTTCCCCGTCTTCCCCACCGCTCTTTACTTTCGCTCATTCCTGTTCGGCCCCGACCTCTTACGATCGCATTCCGTCGTCTGCTACATGATATTCATACCCGGCTTCCTGGCCTTCTCAGCAAGTTTGCGGTATGCAGATATCGGTTAACCTCCGAATCCTCTCTACTGCGCGCCTTATCCGAATGAAAATGCACCCGGTCCGCGGCCAGGATGACAGGGATCTGGGGTGGAGTTCTATGTGAATTGCTCTATCCAGGTGCCCTGATCAAGCATCTTGCCGGTACCAGTCCACCTTATCTGTTTTTGCTCCCACCCCGCAGTTACCCTCTATTCCAGTCCCACATCTGACATTTGTCCCTGTCATGAACGCCGCAACTTACCGCCGACCGCTTCCCTGACCTTGCGTAGCCTTGCGACGTAAGGCCGTGACGAACTTCATGAGTGCGGATGGGCGTCGCCTGCGTTTCTCGCTACAAGGCCTACAAGGGGTCTAGTCTTTCTTATGGATACTCTTGGGTGTTGTGGTATACAATAGAGGCCGACTAGAGCCTGCCGCCCACCTGGCCCAATCCTGGGGATGGGGGGGGGTGGGGCTTTCGGGACTCCAAATAGAACTTTAAGCTATTTTCTTCTCTTTTCTTCCGTCCTCTTCCCTCGCTCCCCGCACCCCACGCACGGTACTTCCTCGTCAGTCGATCGGGTTTCTCTATTTCTGCGGCACGTCCGCAGATATCCTTTCAGGTTCCTTGCCGTGCTCATGAAAGCACCTCTTCCCCCGGGCAACTTATTTATCTATTCGAAGTGGGAGGGTTCGTTAATCTCTATGGAGCTGACCATTTTTCCCTGTTGCGATCATCTCATAATTTTCTCCTTTCGTGTTTTCCCCTTTTTTGCCTCTCTTGAGATTGCCGTCCCCATCAGAGATTTTCTATCAGTCACAGTCTACTACTTTTGTGCGCGTTTCCTTGGGCTTCTAATTATAAGTGATTATGGAGAAGGACCAACTAGGGCGGAAACAGCGCACCCCCCCGTTCCCAGTCCGCCGGGCGTCTAGCCCTTGGGCCTCACATCACCAAATCCTTTACCGTCCCAAACCCCACGACCCCCGAACTCCCTCACCAGGGCCCAATCTGCTACATTGGTTTCTCGCTTCACCAGACAGATTCTTTCAATTCCTGCCGTTCAGAATAGCGATGGGCAACCTGTAGCGATACTTGATCCTACCCCTGTATCTACATGTTTTCTACTCGGGCTGCCGGGAGGACTTTCAGGGGCAAACTTAGGCTGGCTGTTCTTACCGAGGGGGGTAGAGGGGGGGGGGTGAGGAAGAAGATACTATGAGCCAAATACCTAAGCTACAGAGTGATTGAATGCTTGTTTGGATGTAGGCCTTCTCACACCCAACAACTGATAATAAATTTAGACGCTATTACCCTACTCCACACTCATTTCTTCTCCAAGCTTACCACAACTCGTGAATTGTCTATGATGTGTTGATGGCGGGGCAACAGGTGTGTAAAAACATCTGGGGTCCTCCCACATTGGGGGCCCATCCCGGGTGTTCTCGGCGCTGAGGTGGTGTATCTCCTAGCAAATACCTGAAGATCGAATTACCCAGGGGGGAGAATAAGGAAGGACTGCTGGTCCTTTATTCGTCAGCGACTAAGCCCTGCTCCCATGTAAAGGGCATTCCCAAGATAACATAGCCTATCCGGATTCCCACAACACATAGTAAAAATAACTCCCGGAGCCGGTATTCATCATAGTTATCTGACCCGCAAGCCATCCGATGGGCTTACCCAGCTAGGAAATCAATGACAACCCCAACTCAAGCCTGCGGGAAGCCTAACCCGGCGGACCCAACAACTAGTTCATCTTCACCGTGGGAAAGCGGGGATCAACGGTGGCATTGGCAAACTTAGAGGTTCAATTTTAAACTCTGAAACATGCATCACACCTGCTAGTAGACAAGTTCGTAACGAGTGATATTTCTCGACTCCATTTTGGGGTCTATCGGGCCAATTAAGCTCGGACCCGCCCCACCCAAGCAAGCCCGATCGTCCACTCTGACCGGGGAAGAAGAGAGGTCAACCCAATAAAGTCCTGATCCCTTGGGAGACCTACCTACCACAATCCTGAGCAACTCTCCCCGGCAGTGGTCACTCTGCTGGGATATCAGCTAGCATGCCCTAATCCATATACAATTACAACTCACTCGAAGCCAGTTCGTTCATACCACGCCGGAAGCTACCTGTTCTACAGAACCAGTCAATAAATATAGCAGCACAGATATTCATCATGAGGAGTCACTCGGTTGTGTTTATAGGTGGGTGTTGAGAAATGGTGTTGAGAAATGGCCCTCTGAGTGAAGTACGAGAGATTCTCTTGTTGCTTCCTACTCACTATTGCGTATATGGAAATGTGCGTAGAGCTGTGGTAATCTACATCATGGCTTGCGTCATCAGCATGGTGTATATATATACCGTTCCTGCTTCCCTTAGCTAGAGAGTGAACCAAATCAACGATCTTCCGCTGCACCTCAAACAGTTCCTATTTTCAACAGTGGGGTCATCAGGTATGAGCTGCGGCTTGTTACTGCTCTCATATTGGTTGTTCCACGATATTCCAATGTTCAGGGGCTGACGATGGGTGCAAAACGAATCTCTTTTAATCTGCCACACTGGTATTCCAGAAATCTCGCTTTCTTTTACTCTTCATCCGCTGCTGGTTCGACTTCTGGTTAGCCATACCAGGATAAATTAGACCACGTGGGATTTCTCCTAGAGTAGTCCAGTCGATCAACTACAGCTGTAATCCTTTTTTCCTGATGGCTGTAGTGCTCTCTCAAGCCTGCCCTCCGATCGGCTTGAAGATCACTTCCGGATTTTTACATTTATGAGTCAGGTAGTAAGGGGCCTCCTGATCGCGGTTAAAAAGAGCGCACGGGTTGAACTCAAATCTGTTATTTCTGTGAATGCGGACCTAGCTGGAAGCCGAAGGTAAAAAAAAGCCGTTCCCACCGTAATGGGTTGGGGCGATCGAGACCTCCCGACGGAATACCGGCTGTGGGTGGTGCCCGCGAGTCTTTAATCCGGCAATCACCCTCTACGAGTAAAGAAGGAGGTTAGGGGAAAGTGCTACGGGCAAAACCAACAGGACGAGGACGAGACCAAATCTCCTCAACTCATGCCAGAGTTTCTCATCGAGTGCCAATCCTCCTCACTCCCGTACTATCGAGGAGACAAGATAACCAGCTATCTATCCTCCATGAAACTCGCCTCAACCCTCCCATGTGGTGCCTAGTTCATTTCACCAGGAGGCCCAATGGGCCCCCTGATTAAACCGGGTTGTGGTTTATTGGGTTGAGTCTCCCCGGGCCAACCTTTGTCCGCCTTGGATCAGGTCCGGTCCACCCATTTTCAATCCTGGTTAATCAATCTCAAGACCCTCTCCCGATCAATTCATACGCATTGTGAAATTTGACATGAAGCGAGCTTGGTACCAAGATGGGAAATTCAATGCACCACCATACTCTTGGGACTGGTCCCAAGAATTAATGCATTGATAAAGCGTTGATAGGGTGATGTATCCAAGAAAAAGAAAATCAACAACGAGCAGAAAAAAAAACCACAAGCAATCCATCCACCTGGAGTGAAGAAGACACCGTTTCCTGGGCAGCAGACCCCTCTATGAGCCTCAGACTATGGCCTTATTTGGGCTGGAAAAGGGACCAAAGGGAGAGGGAAAGAAATATATGAAAAATGAAGGGGAGCTCCAAAGTCTTGTTCCGGTATACTCAGAGACAAGGTCCAACTATTTAACAAATAAACTGGTGAGCCAGCTTGACAATTTCTTCCTCTTCCAAACGGTTTTCATCCCCTCTCACCGTCTCTAGAACAATACACTTCAAGCTACTCCTTCTGTTGGGGTCTTCTGGCCAATTTGCGCATTGATGGTAAGTATGGATGTATCCCCCAACCCCACACTACACAACCCAGGATGTATCCAACCCCCGCCCAAAAAGGAGATAGGGATAATAAGAGGATGGTGAGATAGGAGTGAGTAAGTGCGGTGAGTTGAATTGGGATATTCACTGGGTACTGACTACTTGTGTAATAGAACATTGGGGGGGGTTGTGTATGTGGTGTTAGACTAGATGTAGGAAGATAAGACTATGAAATAGAGTTTTTGGAGGGGGCCGGATGCGTAGAGAGTTGTAGGTCTGGGTTGGTATATTTAAGTAAACTGGTGGTCCAGTAACTTGAAATGCCGGAGAAAGTCGTGAAAGCCACGTGGGCTATTCAGTGGTAAACTGGTAGACACAGCTCAGGAAATGACTGGTTGTTTGTCCGGGTGAGTAATCGAGGAAAGCCATGGGGTGGTAGACTGCCGGGAATGCCGAGTGTAAGGATATCGTAGCAGCTCGGTTTTTTTTTGCAGTAACCATGTGGAAGCGCGGTAGGGGAGCGAGGGAGTAGATGCAGGGGAGGAAATTCGCAGCTTCAAGAATTGGCGGCCGCTTGAGAAATAGGATACTCGAGCAACCGAAAACCCGAAAGCGCCCTAGCTGGTTGCGCTACCGCTATCATGCTACCGAGATCATATATTGGGATCTGCCCCGTGTATGAGGAGAAGTTGCACAACCGATTGACGATTAAAGAATTTTGCTGCCCTTAGTGCATTGCCGCAATGGCCACCCTTCGCATTCACCTCTGCCCCACGCTCGAGGAGAAGCTGCACAACCGATTCGCTTCCCTGATATGCAGCTGCTTGTAGTGGGTTCCCGTATTCGCTACCCTGAGTATTCACATTTACTGTATCCGCTTTTCCAATGACTAGGGATTTACAGGCCGTCGATAGATCTAGCAAGGAGGAATAGTAGATTGCTGGTGGGTAAATCCCGGAGTCGTAGGTACAAAAGCCTTCAGGGTCGTCAGGGTTATATATATCTAGCCACTCCTTGCCAAGATCGAGGACCTTCACCGCCGCGTCGGAGAGTAGTGTGGGTACCGTAGCCTCAATAGGTCTGGTATACACGAACCAATAGCGAGCACTGTGGTAGAGAAACGACTCTCTTTCGACTTTATTCCCGCTTAGAGTACCTTGTGCACTATGTCGTAGTATTTGGCTGATACAAGCGTGCCCCATCAGTAAATTGGCTTTCTCGTCCGAAATATGATAGAAGGCACTGGGGCCCTGCGCAGCCCGTTCGGAGATCAAATATTCTTTTACCGAGAAATGAGCTAGTCGTAATCGGCGGTTTTCCTGGCTGGACGAGTCATCGTCCCTGGCGTCTTCGAATGAAATAAGGCTAGGGCAAATGCTCATGAGGGAACTCTGGTCAAAAAGCGTGTTCGAGTCGAGGCCATATTTGTTGACATCGCATTCGATCACAATTGCCTCCGCTAACTGGCCCAATGTCAATGGCTCTGCTGAAAATGCAAGCCAATTCATTGCCCGCCGAATATATTCCTTCTGCTTCTTAGGAATGGTATTGAGGATCCTCAGGTAGACAGAGTCTAAATCTTCCGGGAGTTCCTTTAATGATTCCCTCGCGTCTTCTGGCGTGATGCATTCTTGTAAAATTCGCAATAGGCAAACCACCCATCGGAACCTTCACATATCGAGCCTTTAGTCAGCGTAAGTTAAAAAATGTAAAAGTTGAGTACAACATACATTCCCTGTGAGCGAGAAACGAGTGTGTCCTCTATCTCAATTTTAATTTCTTGGGTAAACTCCTTGAGGCCATTCCTACGGTCCAGGGAGTTCTGTATATATGACCGGATATCCGGATCAATGGTATTGGATTGTAACGATATTGAAAAAGTGGTAATTGGTTCAAGGAATTTTACTATATCACCCTCGGGACGGCTTGTGATGAGAATGGAAAGCGATCCTGCATCGTGACCAACGGTAAGTTCGCAGATCCAGGATAGGAGACTCTCCCGTGTTTCCTTGGGAAATTCATCTAAGGCGTCAAGAATGATAAAGGTCTTTTTGGAAGCCTTTATCATCTGTGAAAATACCAATTTCAGAGCCTTGATATCTGTTGACTTTCCAATTTCCTTGGAATTGCGATACAGGTCCAGGACCTCATCAGGGAAATCCCGGCCGGAAAGCCCTTCTAGTAGTTGGCCAACGATAGACAGAAGCATATTGAGCATATTCTGCTTCCCCGAGTCGGTGAAGGTAAAGTAGAAGTAGCCTAATGAGTGCTTATCGTTCGTGCTGCATAGATGCTTGACATCTTCAATGGCAGTAGCGCTAAAGGGAGAGTTAGCAATCAGGAAATCATATTGCACTCCCGGGCAACCTTTGAAATTCGCACCTTAGGACACTCTTGCCACATCCGGCTATCAAGTACAAATGTTAATGACATTCTTTGGAACATAAGATTTCACTCGTCTGTAGACTTACGTATACCGTGAAGCCAGAGAACCCCTCCCCTACCTTCCTTCCAATCGAGGTACTGGTGTCCCTCGAGCAGCCAATTCCCCGTACTAGGTTCACGAAGATCAAGTGCGTGTGAAAAATTGGCGCTAGGGTCAACCACGTTAAGCCATTTCCGTACTTTCTGCAATTCTTTCTCTGTGGTTTTAGAAATATCTTCTTAGTAAAGAAAATTGTAGGCAGGGTTAGGGGTCATGGAACCAAGTACCATCTTGTTTTCGTGACATCTTGGTCACCGTCTTTCTGAACAACTAGTTAGCCTCGCCACCTAAAAACAGGAAGTGGATAGGTTGGATTCTCAGGGTTCTGGAGGATGGATAACCTACATTGTGGCTGTGGATAACAAGAGTTGAAGTTTGGATCTCTGCCCTTCAACCAAGCCTAGGTAATGGTCCATTTTGGGCTTACGAATAGGCCAAAAATATCTCCTCACAGATTTCCTCCATCCCTGAATATCCAGCTTTCCCTGCAGCTCCTCCAGGGCTGTCTTGTAATCATCCAAGCTTGTTGAATTTCCTAATTGGTTTCATATGTATATTTTCCTTGATAATATCGTATATTTCTCTACTTGGTATTATTATGAACATTCATCAGCAAAAATTATTCCTGCGTCAGGCACGCGGGCAGTGCGTCCTGACGCAAGTAGGAAGAATTTTGTCTCCTGTGTGTCCTATGCATCTGGTACTCGGGCGCCGGGTCTGGTTGCGTCCTGTGCGTCTGGTACTCGGGCGCCGGCGCTGGTTGCGTCCTGTGCGTCTGGTAGTTGGGCACCAAGTCAGGTTGCGTCCTAGTGCTTATGCTAGGAAGCGCCACATCCAGATTAAATCCTAAGTAACCGATGCCAACTACCACTAGTAGTTACCATCCTGAGATTCAGAGTGATAAACACAGCTGCCAGCCGCTCCCTCTTAACCACCCCCCTACCGCCTCCTCCCTACCGGCTCCCCCCCTACCGACTCCCCTCCTACCAGCTCCCCTGCATTCCAGACTTAGTTGTTTACTTTGCCTGCTTCGCCAAGTTAGCGAGATTGTCATTAAGTGCTAACTTTGACGCGGGATTCCTCGGGTATCCTTCCGGCGCGGCATCCCATACTCAGCGGTCTGGTTCTACGCGACGCCAGCTTTCCAATGGTACCTTGGACGTCTACCCGGCGCCAATATTGGTAGAGTTACAGCCTGTTATG